ATATTATTGGCATGATTTAAGAAGAGAAAGCAGAGTTAAAATAAGCCATGGGTCTATAATGATTTGGGATAGTTTTGGAGGTAAATGGAATGGATGGGAAGATAAAACTAATTTAGTATTTGTTGACAAAAATATGATTACATTTGGTGCATTAATTGGAGGACATAAATGGTATTGATAGTTTTAACAAGATAATGCTCCCATTCATGTCTCAATGTCAACAAAAAATTGGTTTAAGAAAGAAAATATTGATGTAATATTAACTGGCCTTCATGTTATCCAGATTTAAATCTCATTGAAAATTTATGGGGGATTTTAGCATCCATTGTTTATCAAAATGGGAAACAATATGAAACTTTAAATCAATTGAAAATTGCAATAATGGATACATGGGATGAAATTAAAAATGAACAATTAAAAAAGTAATAAACTCCATGCTAACAGAATTTTTTCAAATAACTGTAGCCAAAGGGGATGAAACCAAATATTAAAAGTGTTTAAAATATATTTAAAATTTATTTTTATGTACTTTTAGAAAGTGTGCCTATACTTTGGTAACAAGTAAAAAGTGATAACTTATATTATTATTAAAAGATAAAAAGCTTGAAAATGATATTTTTTTAATTGTCTTAAAACGTATAAAACTGTTTTCTAATAAAAAATTTGTGGTGGTGTTATACTTTTGTAACATACTATATATATGGGAGACAAGATGGCTGTCTACTACCTTGGCATAATACTGTAGAAGTAAACTTGTTGTTTCCCTGCATCTTCTACCGTCGACAGTCTAATACGTCCATAAATTTTTAGATATACTTTTCCAAGCACCTTTCGGATTTTCATATGCATAGGGATTTACAGCCACTACTTCTCTCAACAGAAGTATGTCGTGATAACAAGAAAAACACGATGCTAATTATAGTAAAAAAATAATTATTTAGTGTTATTAACATCCTATTAAACAGTTTAATTTGTTTATTTACTTTTGCTGAAAATCCTCCATGCAAAATGTATCTGTCATTTTTTCAACTTATTTCCCATGAGTCAATGCGCGATGTTCACTGAGTCATGTGATGTTATGAACGGACGCCTCAACGATTTTTACTTGGACTTGAAATGTCAAACGTGTACTTCTGCTTGCCGTACAAGTTTAACGTTTGAACTTGCACCTCAACCTCTCTATAATCAACTGGAATTCCAGGTTTCAGGAAGCAATCAGTAATAGGGATGTGAAACATTTTTGTTCGGGCAAAGGAGGTGATAGGTGAAGGATTGATGTTATATTAGGGGCAGTCAAATGAAAACGAGACAGACTATATAACAAGTGTGGCAAGGAAGTTGGTAATGCAGGTAGGTGTGTATATACAAGTGCCCTCTACTGGGAATTAGGAAGGAACAGCGTGAATGTTCACCACTGTGCCATTTGTCTGTTAGACGTGTTCGAAGTGAGGTCAGTGAGTCGTGTGTACGTCCACCATCACTATTGAAGTTGCTGCTCATTGACTTTCTGGAACATGGCGCCACAATTAACACACAGCGGTACATAGAAACTTTGCAAAAATTGAAGCGTGCCATCAAATCCAAACACCCAGGAATGTTGCCAGACATCATCATTCTGTTGCAGGATAATGCTTATCCACATGTTACCAAGATTGTTTTGACTATGCTGCAGAAGTTTCGCTGGGAACTTTTACAGCATAGTCCATACACATCCTCCATACAGTCTCAATTTCTCCCCATTCAATTTCCATATTTTTGGAGCCCCGAAGAAAGACATTCGTGGCCATCAATTAGCTTCGGACGAAAAGGGTCATGCCTGGATACAATTGTGGTTCTGTAGGCAACCACAAACATTTTTCTATGAAGGCATTGACCATCTTGTCTCACAGTGGGATAAATATATTAACAGTTATGGCAATTACTTTTGAAATAATAGACAGTTTACTTACTTTTTTCCTATCTGTCTCGTTTTCATTTGACTATCCCTAATATTATACTTTAATATTGATCACAATATTTAAATTTTAAAACATTTTGTGATTTTCAAAATGATGCATTAGGCAAAAAATTTGAGAAACAATTTACAATACTTCTAATCATTGAATATCAATAAGAAATTTTTTGAAATAGTTTAACTCTTTTGTAATGCCCCGTAATTAAATTCTTACCCTCAGTTTGAGGGGAGGTGTTAATGACTAGTTTATAAATAAAAATAAAATACAAAAATGGTAAATGTAATTTAAATGGCATCATTGATCATTTTAATGATAATTTTGATTTTTACAATAAAAAATGTATTTTTAATAGTTTTCTTCCATTTTGTTAATATTTTAATAAATTTGGAAAATTTGTTAAGGGACATTTAATAAATTCTTGTTTGTGTAAAGGATAACAGATTTTATTAATGAATAATAAAGAAAAATATTGCTTTTTTTTCCTTTGCCTTTGAAGCCAGTTTCATAATTGCAAGGAAAATTCTTTTTTTATATAATAAAACATCTTATTTTATATTTTTAAATAGGGTTTAGCAATTCTAAAAATTTGTTTTTTATTATTAAATATAATTTTAAAAAATCTGGTTTGTAAAACTAATCTGTTAAAGATTGAAAATAATAAATTATTAGAAAGAACAATTTAAAAACCTAAATGCATTAGTAAAATTTATTATTATAANTGGATAAGTAAAGTTGAGAAAATTATCATCTAGGCGTTAACAACCTACAGCTATCGCTACAAACAACTAGCGCTTTCAACGAAACTATTTTCGTCTTCTTCAGGTTGATAGAACAGTTACATGCTATTTATCTGGGGTCCAAGCATAGTGGAATATGGTGATAAATTAATTTTTTCATGAAAAATTGTTTTTATTTTTATAATAATAACAGATGATTTTTTTTTATCAGTAAGTAGTTTGGTTTCCTTGAAAAAATTATTAATGGGACCCTTCCTGATCCCTAATGACCAGCTGAACCTGACTTTACAACTTCTTTTTCAAATTCAACTTTCTTTTTATTACTGTAATATTTATAGAACCACTTATTTTCAGGAAGTTAAATCAAAGTTAATTTACCTGAATATTTTCACATTGTGCAGATCTGTATCTTTATAGCTATCTTCTATCTGAAATTTTTTAATTCATGTTTTTAAAGTTAATAAAATGCAGCCTATGAATTTAAAGCCTTACTAATCATAAGTTACAAAATTTATTATTATAAATTATTCACAAATTAATAAAATTGGTTTTTAATCAAATTAAAATAAGATTTAAATTCCATGTTATCAAATGCAAAATTAACTTCTAGTTATTCAGAGTTTAAAAAATCATAAAATTATTCAAGAGATGATTGATTGTAAAAACAAGGTCTCATTAGTTAATCTGTACAAGTTAATATTTTGAGATTGTCACTCAACATGTTGTGGGATCTCAATATACTGTAGTTAGATAACTGTTTTATAATGTCAGATGATTGATACCAGTCTATTTTTATAATATCTGAAAAGTCAAGTCACATATATGAGACTCTTTACTCCTTTGTCTTCAGCAAGTATATTACTGTTAGAAGAAGAAGAGACTGGAGATTAGCCTTTGAATTTCTCTTTTGAGGCAAGATTTTTATTTATATTACAGAACTATATATATCTTACATTGTGTATTCTGTTTGGCAATAGCATGTACAGTACTTGTACAAATGTGTTAGCTATAAAATTTTCCAAGATAGAATAAGTGTATTCTTGAGGTGGACAATTGATTCCACCTGCATATTCAGTGGAATTGGAAGATCAGTGGGTTCTTGGAGTGGAAACAACTTTATCCACTTTTCTCCAGTGGTTCAAACTAAGCTTTTTTTTTCCCTGTGAAAAGATTATTCAGTGGATATGAGAGGATTAGATCTAATCAGTGAGGATGGAACTTACCTCGATTGGTTACTTGAACTTAACTCTCTGGGTTGGTTCATAGGGTATAGCAAGGATCTCTCCTGTCTGGAGGATTGAACATGACTTTTTCTTGTCTCTAGTTTGATTAAAGATTCTCTTCTTGGAGAGAATGGAAATGAGAGCATCAACAAGGGCTTGCAAATAGTAGCCTGCAAGCCTTTGTTGGACAGTTGATTATTTTTTGTTTCCATTGGATCCTTGAATTGTCATTGAAAGTTTAGGGTGGGTCATCTGGGGTAGTTTGTCTCTCATATTACATTTATTGTTAAATATGACCACTACAGTGCAATTGCCAATATGTTTATATTTCATGATTCAAAGTCCCATTATATACAACATAAGTTTTTTTCCTTCTAAAACACTTTTATTTGCTATTTGATTTTCAAACACTTCATATGTCGACAAAAATCACCAAATTTATGATTATTTGACCAATAAAACTTCTTGTGATGGGCCAACCTTACGATTTTAATTAAAAAAAAACTCCATCTTGATTTAATCTGCTGTATCTTCTTACAGTTTCAGAGTGATGTATTTTGTATGTTTGTATTTGTATAATTGTTCTCATTTCATAAAATCATATATGATGAAAGTTCTTACATAGATAAAAAGGAATTGAAAAATGTCACTTGTCATTTTTATACAGATAGGTTTATAATTATATGTTGTTTTTTTAGCTGGTCTATCGACCAACCAATTAGGAATGTTTTAATTTATTATTATTTTTAAAAGATAAGCAGACTATAATTAGTTTGCTGTTGAGTGTTATAATATCATTATTATTTTGTTGTCATTAAATGATATTCATAAGAAACCTACAGTAGAAGATCAATCACCTAAAACTTTTTCCTGAAAAATACTCATTTGTATAACAAAAATCTTATTCCTTAGTTAAAATAGAAACTTTATATAAGAAATATTAATCTATAATAATAAAAACCTTCATGAAGAAATAATTTTATTATGAACTAATCACTAAAGATTAGTTCATAATAAAATTTAGTAATGATAGATGCTCATAATTATGTAAATGAAATTAGATAATGTAATAATTTTAATTTCAGAAGATTAGCTGCAATGCGTGACATGTCTGAACAGAATGATGAAATTATTCCTGGTTGTCAGTTACCAGTTAGAAAAGAATTCAGGCCAAGAAAAATTAAAAAGATTATGTATGATGCTAAAGAAAATGACGGTGAGTATATATAGTATAATTTTGCATATTTGCTAATATGCTATATATAGTATGTATAGCATATTTGCATAGTAAGTCATATGATAAGTAAAGTTGAGAAAATTATCATCTAGGCGTTAACAACCTACAGCTATCGCTACAAACAACTAGCGCTTTCAACGAAACTATTTTCGTCTTCTTCAGGTTGATAGAACAGTTAATAACCTTCAAATTCAAATTACAGCAACAGCAAACCAACATTGGAATAAACTCAAAATAGAACAAAACAGAGAATTTGAAAGATGCGCGCTCGATGCCGACGCGCATGAGCAATAGATTATTTTGCGAGAATGCGGAGCTAGCGATGTTGTTTTAACCTGTTGTATAAGTTGACCCACAAGGAAGGCACATCCAGCGTGGGGGTGTTGCATAGATTTAGCACGCTGGTAAATAGCGCCTCCGCTGGTAAATAAATATATACAAGAGGTTCCTGCTATCACACTGTTTGAGTATCCCCACTTGGTCCCACATCGGAGTGCATTGGTGTTGCAACACCAGTCTTGCCAACTCGGTGTCGCACCTACCCATACTAATAGATTGTTTGTGTTCGGAGATGCAGCAAGACAACATTCTGGATGTCGCTCCGATATACTGGGTATGTGTACCGGCTGTTATACTTTCCAATGGGATGGAATACACGCCAGACCGCTCTAGCACAGAAAAAGGATCCCTGTCATTGCATAACACTCTTCTAAGGTTTGGTCGCGGCAACACTGGCAGGAAAAGCGCATGCTGCCTAAAAATACGGCAAATGCAGCCAGTAATACGGCCACAGAATGGTAATGACGGCTGGATTATTGTACATTCTTCCGAGGCCTGCAAAGTCGTGTCAGGAAATAGAGATTGTTTAACCTTTCTAAGGATGTACCTGTACTTAGATCTAGCATAACCCGCCGCACTTACCGCTGCACTTATAGCTTCAAGCTCGATGTTGACAAGAGCTTGATTGGAAGAAAACAAAAATGCCCTTCTAATTAGAGGGGCGATAGCTGCGTTGACGTAGTGCTGCGGTTGGTACGCGGTGGCAGGTTAAAGGAGTTATGCTGTTGAACTTATGGAACACGGAGAACTCTATCCCACCCTGGGCTTTGGTGATCTTTAAATCTAAAAACGCAATCTCACCTCCCTTTTCCTTTCCTCAGGTAAACTTGATGGTATAATAAACCTCCATAAGATAACTTTTGAGGATATGGAATTCCTCTTTCGTGTATTGCCAGGCTACTATGATATCGTCCACGTATCTAAGATATAATAGCGGGTATGCTATGGTGAGAGGGGAGCTAAACACTCTTTGCTCAACACGCCTCATGAGTAATTCTGCCAATATAGCGGAGAGCCCATAGGTACCCCTTGTTTCTGTAGATATACTTTCCCGTTGAACTGAAAGTAATTATTTTCCGTGATAAAAAGCAATTGTGTGAACAGCCATATTGTAAAGCGGTACCTGCAGGAGAGAGGTCTACGGCTCCTGATTTCAGACAAGGAGAAGAAGTTTGTTTTGTGCAAAGAAGAGGATTTTCTGACCAGAGCCTCAGATTTCCTCAGGCTTTCCCATGCTGAAGTTTTACAGTCTGATCCAACCCCTTCGGTACTAAGGAAAATAGCATCTCTTCCAAGTATTTCCGCTCTTCCTGCATGCGTGGATCCACCTCCCAATGTAGCTTGTCCTAGGATCTTTTTTGAAGTAAAAACCCATAAGGAGAACTGGCCTCTAAGGCTGCTGGTTAATAAAAGGTCCCACCCAACCTACCACCTGGAGAAGGCTATAGCTAAGTTACTGGGTGGGCTCCTTCCTCCATCGCCCCTAGTTACGTCATCGTCCATTGCAGCAAAGGCCGCTATTTCTTCTGTATTGGATAATCTATCCCATAGCAATTACAACTTCTACAAGATGAATGTGGTTGCACTCTACCCCTCGGTACCACAGTTTGAGGCGGTTATGCTCGCCAATGCTATGCTTGTTAAGGAGGGCTTTACAGTGCAGCAAATCCTAGAAATACAAGAGGCCTTGCTTTTTATCACGGAAAATAATTACTTTCAGTTCAACGGGAAAGTATATCTACAGAAACAAGGGGTACCTATGGGCTCTCCGCTCTCTGCTATATTGGCAGAATTACTCATGAGGCGTGTTGAGCAAAGAGTGTTTAGCTCCCCTCTCACCATAGCATACCCGCTATTATATCTTAGATACGTGGACGATATCATAGTAGCCTGGCAACATGTGAAAGAGGAATTCCATATCCTCAAAAGTTATCTTATGGAGGTTTATTATACCATCAAGTTTACCTGAGAAAAGGAAAAGGGAGGTGAGATTGCATTTTTAGATTTAAAGATCACCAAAGCCCAGGGTGGGATAGAGTTCTCCGTGTTCCATAAGTTCAACAGCATACCTCCTTTAACCTGCCACCGCGTACCAACCGCAGCACTACGTCAACGCAGCTATCGCCCCTCTAATTAGAAGGGCATTTTTGTTTTCTTCCAATCAAGCTCTTGTCAACATCGAGCTTGAAGCTATAAGTGCAGCGGTAAGTGCGGCGGGTTATGCTAGATCTAAGTACAGGTACATCCTTAGAAAGGTTAAACAATCTCTATTTCCTGACACGACTTTGCAGGCCTCGGAAGAATGTACAATAATCCAGCCGTCATTACCATTCTGTGGCCGTATTACTGGCTGCATTTGCCGTATTTTTAGGCAGCATGCGCTTTTCCTGCCAGTGTTGCCGCGACCAAACCTTAGAAGAGTGTTATGCAATGACAGGGATCCTTTTTCTGTGCTAGAGCGGTCTGGCGTGTATTCCATCCCATTGGAAAGTATAACAGCCGGTACACATACCCAGTATATCGGAGCGACATCCAGAATGTTGTCTTGCTGCATCTCCGAACACAAACAATCTATTAGTATGGGTAGGTGCGACACCGAGTTGGCAAGACTGGTGTTGCAACACCAATGCACTCCGATGTGGGACCAAGTGGGGATACTCAAACAGTGTGATAGCAGGAACCTCTTGTATATATTTATTTACCAGCGGAGGCGCTATTTACCAGCGTGCTAAATCTATGCAACACCCCCACGCTGGATGTGCCTTCCTTGTGGGTCAACTTATACAACAGGTTAAAACAACATCGCTAGCTCCGCATTCTCGCAAAATAATCTATTGCTCATGCGCGTCGGCATCGAGCGCGCATCTTTCAAATTCTCTGTTTTGTTCTATTTTGAGTTTATTCCAATGTTGGTTTGCTGTTGCTGTAATTTGAATTTGAAGGTTATTAACTGTTCTATCAACCTGAAGAAGACGAAAATAGTTTCGTTGAAAGCGCTAGTTGTTTGTAGCGATAGCTGTAGGTTGTTAACGCCTAGATGATAATTTTCTCAACTTTACTTATCCAATATTCGGCGTGAAGTCCAATATTATTTTTTCACTTTTAAAGTCATATGATGTTTTATTTTGTCAATGTGCTGTACAGTACTTATGATTTCTTTCCCATAATTCCTGTCGTTTATTCCCTATGAGAAAAATCCTGAGAAATCTCACATTTCAGTGATAATTTATCATGTCAGGTTTTCTTTCTACAATTTATTATACGAAAAGCTGCATTTTGAAGACTTGCCTAAGAGAGAAATTTTGAGGTTTCATGCTGCATATTATTACCTATGTTTTACAAATCTCTACTTGTTAGTTCATGTAATATCTATGTATGCACTTTAGTTTCAAATTCGCATTTATAAGTTAAGGAATTTGTTAAAGGTTATATTTCCATTTATATCTTATCATTTGTAACTCTAAGTGTGATTATTTGAAATTCCTTTATTAGTCAATTAATCATATTTTACAACAATTTATTTTAATATAATTTATAAAATCAAACCATTGTAATGTCAGATAATATGTTTGGAAACATTTTTTACAAAACCAAGTACAACAATCAGCAACCTGTAAAGAGTGTAAAGCTGAGAAAAAGTGCAAAAGTTGGTCTAATAGTGGTCTTATCAGACACCTGCAAGCTAAGCAAAATATAAACAAGTCTTCTATTAGTGATTCTGATAATAAAAATGAAGAACGTGGATGTAGTAGTAACAACAGGAAAGCCTCTCAGCAAAATGTATCATTATTTTTAATAAAACAGAATACTTTACAAGAAATAGTTACAAAGTTGTCTATGCTAGATGGTATAGTATTAATTCTATTGCAAAAAGTGAATATGTCGGACAATCTTTGGCAGAGAAAGAGTATACTTTGCCAACAAATCCAACTCATGTCATGGATCTGGTTCACTCACAATACAAACAGATAAAAGAAAGTTTGATTTCTAAAATTGCAGAGAAAATAATTTCAGGAACAAGGTTTAGTATATCATTAGACAAGTACACCTCTCTAAACAATCGCCAATATATGAATATTAATGTACACATAGGGGAGGGAAAATTTAGGAATTTAGGAATGGTAAGGATTTCTGGTTCTCTATCGGATGAAGTTGCTGTTAATGTGGTCAAAGAAAAGTTAGCTGAATATCATATTTCTTTGGAAAAACACATGGTGGCTTGTGTAACTGATGGTGCAACTGTGATGAAAAAAATGGGAACATTAATTGAATGTGAGCACCAATTGTGTTATGCACATGGAATCCACTTAGCAGTGTGTGATGCTTTGTATCAGAAATCATCTACGCATCTTACAATCCCCTTTATTGATGAAAACCAGCCAGAAATAGATCACCAAAGAGATGAGTATAACATTGATAAAAGTGAAGAAGATTTCACTTCAAGGTATTGAGGTTGAAAAATTTATTTCAGAATATGAACACTTCAATGAAAATCTGTTTGAAATAGATATAGTATCTGAATTGTATGAAATCAACATCTCTCAAATCATCAATAAAGTCAGAAAGATAGCTAAAACCTTTCGTAAGTCACCTGTGAAGAATAATGTGTTACAAGAATACATTAAACAGGATCATGGAAAACCCTTACATTTAATGTTAGATTCAAAAACCAGATGGAACAGTTGTTAACTATGCTAGAACAGTATATCAAGATAAGACCATTCATGTTGAAAGCTCTCATTGATCTCAAAGAAGATAAAAATAGTACTCTTAGCCTTGAAAAACAAGGAGTTGATGTAATTTATGGCATTGTGGCATCACTAGAACCCTTAAAACTAGCTGTTGTAAAGCTAGGTAGAAGAAAATCTACTCTATTTTCATTAGAGATATTACCTCTTTTGTTTTGAATGAACTGAAACAATTGAACACTGCTTTTTCTAAAAAAGTACATGAATATTTTGTTATCCGCATAAAAGAGAGAAGAAACGAAAAATTGATGGGACTGTTACTTTTATCTTACTGGTGAAAACAAATATAAGAAGTTCGAGAGTGACAGTGCATTCCAGCAATCTGAGACAATTATAATTTCATCAGAAAAACAAATGTTTGATCACCTTTTTGGAGAACCTGCTAACCTGCTATTTCTGATTCTAGTGAATGTAATGAATATGTACAAGAATCACAGACTTTCACACTACCGAATGAAATGACTTTAGCTGACAAGCTAAATGCATATCTTGAAGCATCCGAGAGATCAAGAATACGATGAGCAGAGAGCAGTAAACAAAGAATTAAGTGCTGGAGAGCAGTTAGAAACTGAGTTAGCAATTTTCAAAAAAAAAAAAAAAAAACAGGCATAAAATCTCAGAAAATTTCTCTTCTTTTGAGAGCTTTGAAAAACATTCCACCCACCTCAATAGAGTCTGAAAGGGCAGTTTCAGCTGCAGGTCTTTTTGTGACCAAATTGAGAACTAGATTAAGTGATCAAAGTATTGATCATTTTTGTTTTTTGAAGTCATTATGAAAGTTTGTTTTTTTTTTTCTTTCTTTCTTTCTTTTTTGATAGTGAATTTTTTTTTATAAAGTTTTTGAGTAGTACAGTATTTTTTTATGTTCAACTGAAAATAATTTTTTTTTTTTTGAGAAGTTGTATTTTTTGTTCAATTCAAAATATTCAATAATTGTCTTTTTTCTCATTAAATTTATGGAATAAGTATATTTTTTATTTCATCTTTAGAAATAAAATAGTATTTTTTCGTAATCATTATTATGTTCATTAAAACTCCCAAAGGAATGCTTTATTTTACTTTCATCTTATAATGTAGAAGAACATAAATTAATTGAGCCTAATGCGTCCATATGGGTGAGATTGGCACTAAACTTTTAGTTACTTACTAGAAAATAAATTAAATTATTCAAATTTATGATATTCCTGTATGATATTTTTTATTCCTATGAAATTCTATTTTATTATCTCATCTCAGGATCCCGGGAAAAGAAATTATTTTTCCCGTAATCCTGCTGGAGGCAAATTTTCCAGGAAATGAGTAACCCTGGTTGTACTGCAAAGGATATGAGGGTCAGGGAATTTGTACAAAGTTGGTCAGGGAGTGTTGTGGAATTTAAAACAAAAATTTGAGTAGGAACCTTGTATTTAACAATAAGACTATTATTATTAAAATTTTAATAAATAATAAAAAATAAATGATTATTTGATTGTTAACATTTCAGATTTTGATCGTGAAGAAATAGCAACATATGAAGAAGTAGCAAAATTGTATCCAAGGTTAGGTTTACATAGACCTATTGTATTAATTGGTAAGTTTTAACTGTTGTTATAAATATAAGTACAATAGTTTGGATATGTTGAATAATTTTACATTACAAAAGATTTTTTTATTATATTCATATTTCCTATCATAACTATATCCAAATTTATTTTGGACTCGTGGATAATGGAATGTAAATCAAGTACAAATAATTACAAGTCAAATTTTAAAAGTTTATTTTCTGATAGTTGTTGATTTCATATAATTAAATACATATTTATGATTGAGTTTGATTCATATTCCTTACTTACAATAATGCAAATCTTAATTTAAAGTAAAGACAAATGATTACTGGATTAAATTGGGCTACATTACAACTATTAATAATTATTAAATCTTGAGTAATTTGGCACTAGATGTAGGCATTAGGTACCATTGCTTATTAAATTAGTATTTATTAAATAATTTAGAAAATTCTGGAAGAAAAGAATCTGCCAGGAGTGGAACATGAAAAAAACTGCCACTTTGCAGATGCATTGCTAGCTATGCTACCAGGACCTCTGTCTGATCTTTCACTTCCAGACATAATTAATTTATATGTCCATACTAGTTACTCATGGCACTGACTAGGGATTACATATAGGTTCTGAGATATTTTTGTATGATTAAATTATCCTATAGGTTTGTTATAGTGTTTAAATCTGGACTGTGAGCAGGCCATTCCAGTAATTTGATTTGATTATCATTAAACCACATTATTGTTTCATGCAAGATATAACACATTTCATTGTCTTGCTGAAATCATAAATTTGATTCAGCAATTTGTTCTCCAAATGACAATGAATGAGTTTTAAGTATATCCACAATACAGCAACTATATTTAAATGATTTAATGAAGATGAAATTTATTTTCTATTGAAGCCAAACATTTCTCATATTATTAATGAATCACCACCATTATACTTTGAAAAACCTTAAAGCTCTCTGCTTAAATCATGCCAGGAATAGTGACAACCATTAAGGCCATCTGAATAAAAAATTTTTCTCAACGCGGAAAAAATAAAAGAACAAGTTACAACTCAGTGTTTCAAATTTGGTGCTTTTCAGCAAATTTCAGTTTTACTATGATAAGATATGGGTTTAGCTTTGGTTTTGGCATTCTTAAAGTATTTTGCTGCTATTGCCAAATTGACTATTTGTTGGGACACTTTATATTGCATATTTTATGCAATTTGACTTTGCAGTTATGTCCAGAAGAGACATGCAATGCATAATTTGTCATTTTTCATGTAATGTCAACTTTGATTTTCCAATGGGACTTCAATATTTCGTAATATATTTTGAAATGGTGCTTTTGTCTCAACCAATTTTCCTTGCTCTTTTTGTTAGTTATGCTTTTGAGAAGGAAGAAGCTACCATACCTTTGAAAAAGGAATTATCAAAACTTACTCTAACATGTCTTTCTTCCTCCCATCTTGTAATTTAAAGAAATATTAGACAAATTTATTGATGATAATTAGTAGAATTATTGTATATAGAATTTATATCTTATTTTTTTTATTAAATACTATATTTTATCTTACTATTTTTTATTATAAACTAACCAGTTTTTTTTATTAAAATAATTGTGTTGATAATTTTCCTTTTAAAAATTTTTAATAATTAAATCTGTGCGCATAATTTTTCTTAATTCATAAAACAAAGTACACATTAATGCTTCTTTTCATCAAAATGTGTATTAATTTCAGTTTTTAAGAATCTAATACTATAAAACACAGAACAATGAAAGGTTGATAAATTTTTACAGCACTGTATAAAAATCATTTCTAAATATTTAATTAGATTATGTATTTTTCTTTGATATAAAACTGATTAAAATTGAGATTTCTATAAATGTAAAAATTTATATATAAGTAAATGATTACATTTATTTAATTTAAACATTTAGGCCCACCTGGTGTTGGAAGAAATGAATTAAAAAGACGTTTAGTTGCCACTGATCCTGATCATTATAAGCCCACAATTCCATGTGAGTAATTAAGTCAATTTAAATCAAAAACTTAGTTCTAACTAATCTAACTTAGTTCTAACATAATAAATGATAATGATTCTATAAAATAAATGAAAATTTCTTTTATAGAATCAAAAATTTATAAGGCTATACTATTTCCAAAGTCACTTTGTAATTTAAAAGTTGTTAATTCTAAAACAATAAATGTATCATGGAACAGTTTTTAAGAATAATCAACAATGAACTTATATTGCAGAAATAATTATAAATTAAGTTTAACTTAATACATTAGAAGTTAATGTTTTTTGTTCTGGTGAAACTAGTCATAATGTATAAAATTTTATATAATTTTTTAACTTAAATAATAATTACTTGTTATTTTAAATATCAGGTAACCAAATAAATAATATCCTTTTTTGAAATGTGAATAAAAAATGTTTGTATTTTTTATTTAAAATGATTTTATTCACCAAAATATTTGCCTTCATATTCAATTACTTTCCCAACAGGAAGACAGTTTGAAAATGTCATTTTTATAAAGTCTTCATTTTTAGCATTAAAAAATTGGCTTACTCCTCTTTTATAGTTTTATGATATATAAATTGTTTTCTGTGCATAAGATTATCCAAAGGTAAAAAAAGATAATCACAGAGATAAGTCAGGAGAATCAGAAGGATGAGGTAAAAGTTTCTCGTCCCAATTGCATTATTTTGTGTTTTGTAATTTGTATAATGTGTGTGAGTATTATCTTTTAAAAACAAAACACTTCAACAATTTGTCATGGCTGTTTTTGCCTTAATTTTTCATGTATTCTTTTTAGTTGCTCACTGTACAAATCTTCTATAAAGATTTGACCAAAGTATTCATGATGAACAATACCTCCTCAAAATCCACCAAACACAAAGAAGCATTTTTTCGGAGTCAGTTTTTGCTTTGGGATCTTTGGCCTAGGATCACTGGTTATCAAACCAGTGATGACTATGATTTTAGTTAAAATCTGAAATCTACTTTTTATCAGTGGTCAAAGTTTAATCTCAGAAATTCTCAGATTTCAAACATGAAAGAAGTAGTGTGCAAATATTGAGATGGTGTGACTTGTTCTCAGCACTTAATGCATGAGGAACCCATTTACATAATTTCCATTTCTTTTCCAATTTAAGTAAATAAAGCCTGATTGTTTCATCACTTACTTGAAGCTCTTCAGCAAGCATCTGACTCATTAAATATGAATTTAAAAACAATCCACTAAACAAAGTGTTAATTATAATCAAAACATACTAGCTTATTGTGCTTTGCACTTATTTTTGAAAGTTATCACTAACATTTTCAGTCCACATCTAAGACCTTCTTCAGGCAGATTTTGAAAAAAGATTCTTTCTGGTGTTAGTGGTTTTCTATTTGGCTCTGATGTATTCAAATTAAGAATGTTTTAAAAAAAAAAGAAACATTCGAAATTCGAGGAGAGTATTAAGTTCACTTTATCAAAAATTCATATTAATTACTATTGGGGTCAAGGTTCTATAATTTATGGAGTTAAGGATTAATAAGCCATCAAAATCCTTAAATTATAATATTGTAAATTAATTTACAAAAATAAATTAATGACTTAAATGATTTTTAAATCAAACAAAATGAGGAGGAGACAGTATTTGCCATTTAAGCAGTATATCAGATTGGTTAAACAAAACAAAGCTAAAAGAAATTCATGATTTTTGTCAGTTGAAGATTTTTGAAAAAGTAGAAAATGTTTTTGGTGCCAAATGAGTAAAAGGGGAGCAAAATTTAGTGCAAAGTAGCCAAACCTGGCATTACTGTATGTACCCTTAATATGCAATCTAGTACATGTTTACATCACATTCATTTAAAGGGGTGGTTATCCTTAAACTTTGACCCCTATTTTCTGAGAATAGTGTGCTAAAACCAGATGTTTAAATTGCTCTAGCTGGAGATTGAACCCATCTATGCTTACTAGGAGAAGAAAATGTATTCTACTTAAAATAGAACATTCATTTACAATAATGCCACTTTGCTTTTCACACTTTTCTACATGACTAAAATCATTATTGGAAATAGTGTTATTTCTATTTCTTGGGGTTGTGAAGGTAATTTATAGTTCAGTTTAACAAATTCTGGTAAAATTTATGTTCACTCTATTGCATGAAAATTAACATTGTGACAATGGCATTTTGCCAAAGCAATGGGATAATTCACTTTATCAGTGTTTGTTTTAAAGCAAGTGGACTTTATCTAAAGTTAATGGTCATCCTGGCCTGGTTTTGTCTGCTTAGGATTCATCTCCTGAAGCAAACTTTTTAAACCATCTTTGAGCAGTTGCCTATAGCTTCAATATGTGGCAGATAATTTCAATTATTTTCAGTTATTANAGCTGAATAAATATCATTATCATCACAAGTTAACCAAGTTCTGAATTCAATTACTTGAGCCGTGTTTTCCTAAATTACGATTGCATGAACTTTTTTCTAGGAAAGGAAGAATCAAATGAAATTTTTAAAACTGAAAATGGCGATAATCTTAGTGCAAACAACTATTTTTACTTAGAATCACGCATATTGCATTTGAAAATTTAATGTACTACAAAATTAAGATTTGTTTTTTAATAAATTTACAATTAAATGCAGCAAAGTTTTTGTAAAAAAGGTAATTATCTCACCAAACGATCACCTTAATATCGGGCTATAGTATGTCTAATTAAATGATTAGTATAAAGTAATTTGACAATAGAGGTAGGCGTTAGGCACCATACTCTGGAATAAAAGAACTGGCCCATCGCGGGCCAGTTCTTTTATTCCAGAATGTTCTAAATTTATTTAATAATTTATTTATTTATTTATAATTATTAATTTACTTAAGAGATTGTGCCTAATGCCTACCTCTATTGTCAAATTACTTTATACTAATCATTTAATTAGCCATACTATAGCCCGATATTAAGGCAATCGTTTGGTGGTTTAATCTATATTTCTCGGGCTTTGAGTTGTTATTTAGGTAATTATCTCATTTTATTCTTGAGTACTTATATCTTTATTCACTGAATCAGATAAAATGTCAAATTGTACTTTTAGACTATGAGTTAGGTGACAGTATTGAATATGATCACTTGACATACCTTAAGATATAATAAGTAATTCCCTACTATTAGGTTGTTCAGAAAGTAATTTCATTTTTTTACCACTAGATGGATTAGTTGTATTTTTCCCACAATTTTCATTCTAAACCATATTATCATTATATATTTTGACAGCTAGCATTTTAAGGCTTATTTGTAAAAAATTTTGTTTGATTTTGTGCAATTGTTTATTTTTTGTGTCCCATCAAATATGGAAGATCGAAAGCAGCATTTTTTGCATATTTTGCTCTTTTATTACTGAAAAGGTAAGAATGCTGTTCAAGAGAGGAAAAAAATTGTGTGACATGTATGGAGAAGATGTATTGACAGAATGACAGTGGCAAAACTGGTTTACAAAATTTCGTTTTGGCAATTTCGATATTGAAGATGCACCACGTTCTGGATGGCCAATTGAAGCCAATGAAAACAAAATAAAGATACTGATTGAAGCAAACTGCTGAATAATACTAATAGATTAAATTTGTGAAATTGAACTGTTTATGATTACTTGAAACAAATTGGTTTCGTTTCAAAGCTTGATATATGGGTTCCGCATGTTCTTAAAAAGAGATGCTCTCTTTGGTGGGATTTTAAGGAAATTTTTTTTGGAGCTTTTACCAGACAATTTAACAATTGATTTGAAAGTGTACTGCCATTGAGTAAACAAATTGAGTAATATCATCAAACAGAAAAGGTGGCCAGAATTGATCAACAAAACAGGTGTAGTGTTTTACCATGATAATGTCAAATTTCACACAAGTTTGGTAACTCGTCAGAAACTGTTATAACTTAGATGGGACGT